TGTCAGGGAGCGTCAGTATGATGACCCCCATCTGCTTGTCCTTAAGGACACGTTCCAGCACGGTGATGTTAAGGAGGTCACTATTGGAGATGATAGTTCATTGAGGATGCAGGGCAGGCTATGTGTGCCCAATGTAGATGGTTTGTGTGAGTTGATTCTTCGGGAGGCTCACAGCTCGCGGTATTGAGGCAACGAAGATGTATCAGGACCTGAGGCAGCATTATTGGTGGAGGAGGATGAAGAAGGACATAGTAGAATATGTGGCTAGATGTCTAAATTGCTAGCAGGTGAAGTATGAGCATCAGTGACCAGGTGGGTTGTTTCAGAAGATAGAGATTCCAGAGTGGAAATGGGAGCGGATCACTATGGACTTTGTTGTTGGTCTCCCATGGACTCAGCGGAAGTTTGATGTAGTTTGAGTGATTCTAGACAGGCTGACCAAGTCAGCTAATTTCATTCCTGTGATGACTACCTATTCTTCCGAGCAGTTGGCTCGAATTTATATCCGCGAGATCGTCAGGCTTCATGGCGTACCGGTATCTATCATCTCTGTCTGGGGTACGCAGTTTACATCACGATTATGGAGAGTCGTACAGCAGGAGTTGGGTACTAGAGTGGAGCTGAGCACAACATTTCACCCTCAGACGGACGGACGGTCCGAGCGCACTATTTAGATACTGGAGGATATGCTCCGTGCTTGTGTGATAGATTTTGGGGGTGCTTGGGACCAGTTCTTTCCACTTGCAGAGTTTGCTTACAACAACATTTATCAGTCCAGCATTTAGATGGCACCATCTGAGACTCTATATGGTAGGCAGTGTCGGTCCCCAGTGGGTTGGTTCGAGCCGAGCGAGGCTAGGTTATTGGGTACGGGCTTGGTCCAGGATGCCTAGAAAAAGGTTAAGGTGATTTGGGATATACTTCGCACAGCTTAGTCCAGACAAAAGAGTTACGCGGACCGAAAGGTTGGCGATGTTGCATTCATGGTTGGAGAGCGGGTCTTACTCCGGGTTTCGCCTATGAAGGGCGTTGTGAGGTTTGGAAAGAAGGGCAAGCTGAGCCCAAGGTTCATTGGTACTTTTGAGGTGTTGCGGCAGGTTGGGGAGGTTGCTTATGAGCTTGCCTTACCTCCCAGCCTAGTAGGAGTTCATCCGGTATTTCATGTTTCGATGCTCCAAAAGTATCACGGTGATCCGGCTCATGTATTAGATTTAACTCGGTCCAGTTGGACAATGATCTATCATATGTTGAAGAGCCAGTGGCTATTTTAGACAAGCAGGTCAGAAAGCTAAGGTCAAAGAACATTGCTTCTGTGAATGTTCAGCGAAGGGGATAACTGGTAAAGGAGGTGACTTGGGAGACCGAGTAGGATATGCGCAGCCGTTATCCTCATCTTTTCACCACTTCAGGTATGCCTCTATGCTCGTTCGAGGACAAACGATTGTTTTGAGAGGGGGAAGATGTAACGACCCCGCCGGTCATTTTGAGAGTAATAGCCCCGATCCCCTATTTACTGTTTCCCCATATCGTTTTCTGCTTAGGTGACTTGCCGGGAGATTTTGTTTTTTGGTTTCGGAGTGTTTTGGTACACTTAGTACCTAAATGGAGGTTTAAGCCTTAGGATTTGGACCGTAGTCAGAATTATGTGAAGATGACTCCGGAATAGAATTTTGTTGGGTCCATTAGTTCCGTTAGGTGATTTTGTGTTTAGGGGCGTGTCCAGATTGTGTTTTGGAGGTCTGTAGCTCATTTAGGCTTGAAATGGCGAAAGTTAAATTTTTGGAGATTTGGACTGGTAGTGAAAATTTTGATATCGGGGTCGGATTCCGATTTCGGAAGTTGGAGTAGGTCCGTAATATTGAATATGACTTGTGTGCAAAATTTGGGATCAATCGGACGCGGTTTGGTTGGTTTCGGTACCGGTTGTCGAATTTTGAAGTTTCAAGTTCTTTAAGTTTGAATCAGAGGATGATTTGTGATTTTAGCGTTGTTTGGTGTGGTTTGAGGGCTCAACTAAGTTCGTATGGTATTTTAGGATTGGTTGGTATGTTTGGTTGAGGTCCCGGGGGCCTCGGGTGAGTTTCGGGTGGTTAACCGACTTGGAATGGAAGTTGAGAAATTTCTGAAGTTTGGTCTTTTGCTGGTATGATCGCACCTACGAGGGTATTAGCCGCAGATGCGAGGCCACATGTGTGGTAGGTTGAGCGCATGTGCGGAATGGATGGAGATAAGCAGAGGTCGTAGGTGCGATGGTTTCTCCGCACCTGCGATAGCGCAGATGCGGACCAGTGGTCGCAGAAGCGGAGGCAGCCAAGGTTAGTCGTTTTCGCAGGTGCGCCCACATTTTTAACACCAGCGGGCGCGCAGGTGCGAGCCCAGGCTCCGCATGAGCGGAAATGCCTGGGAAGTGTTTAAAACCAAATGGCTTCGTGATTTTTGTCATTTTGGACTTTGCAAACTCGGTTTAGGGCGATATTTGAGAGCATTTTCGAGGCATTTCTTGAGGTAAGTCCCTTGTGTTTATTTTTGATCAATAATATTGCTTCCCCATTTATTTTTTCACCTAGTTAGTGTGTATTTAAGATGAAATTTGGGAGTTTGAGGCTATGGATTTGAAAAGTTTGATTTGTAGATTTGAAGGACCATTTGGTGTCGGATTTTAGTAAATTTGATATGGTTAGACTCGTGAGTGAATGGCTTTTTGGATTTTGTGACTTTTATCTGATACCGAGACGTAGGCCCGGGTCGACTTTTTGGGGCAAATTTTAGAAGTTTTGTAAAATATTGATTTCATTAATTAGATGGGTCTATTATGGTTGTATTTATGATATGTAATTACTTTTGGTTAGATTTGGGCCATTCAGAACCGGATATTCGTGGGAAAGACATTCTTACCGATTGATTGAGCTTGGTTCGAGGTAAGTGGCTTGCCTAACCTTATTGGGGGGGAGGGGGAACTCCCCGTAGGATTTGTACTGATTTGATGTATGAGCGTCGTGTACGTGAGGTGCAGAGTACGTACACGGGCTAATTGTGTAAAAACCTGATTTTTCTACTAAGTAATAACCTGATTTCTTTCTTATTTGAGTTTCATCAGCATGTGTAGTATCCTGCTAGATTAGAATAACATACCTACTTGCCTTAACTATTTACTTGAACTACGTGCAGCATGTTTAGTGAATTTACCTGTCTTTCCTTAACGGGTACTTAGGTTGAACTATAGGATTTCGTGTCGTAACTATTGAATTCTATTGTTTCGCAGCATATTTACTTTGGAACTACGGAACGGTAATCCGGGGAGATCCCCTTGTACTGTATTTTTACTTTGGGACTACGGAACGGTATTCCGGGAGATCCCCTTGTACTGCATATTTACTTTGGGACTACGGAACGGTATTCCGGGAGATCCCCATGTACTGTATAGTTACTTTGGGACTACGGAACGGTATTCTGGGAGATCCCCTCTGTCTTGCATATTTACTTTGGGACTACGGAACGGTATTTCGGGAGATCCCCCTGCACATTTACGTTTGGGACTACGAGACGGTATCTCGAGAGATCCCCTGTTGTATTATGTGTACTGAGTTGTTACCTTCTATGAATTCTTTTTTGTTAAAATTCAGTCTTTATTTTACTACGATATTTCATTTTTGCCTTGCCTTATTATTAATTATACCAGTAGGGTCCTGACCTGACCTCGTAACTACTTGACCGAGGTTAGGCTTGGCACTTACTGGGTACCAATTATGGTGTACTCATGCTTCTCTTCTGCACATGTTTTTTGTGTGCAGATCCAAGTTCTCCTTATCAGCCGCACTATCAGTGAGCCGGGACAGCTTTGGAGACTTCAAGGCATATCTGTCGCATCCGCAGACCTTGATAGACTCTAATGTATAGAGACACTAGATTTGTCTTCTGTAGTTTGTGATTCACGATGTTTCGAGTTTTGGGATTGCTGTGTATTTTTAAATAGTTAGTTGTTAAAATTATATTTTCATTTCATTATTCCGCAAATATTAGGCTTACCTAGTTGTAGAGACTAGGTGCCGTCACGATATCATACGGATGGGAAATTTGGGTCGTGACATAATCATGCTGAGATAATTGCTATTCATGAAGCAAGTCGAGAATGTGTATGATTGAGGTCTATAATACATCTTATTAGAGACAAATGTAGTTTGACGTGTAACAAACTACCCACAATTTTGTATGAAGACAATGCAACATGCATAGCCCAATTCAAGGGAGGATTCACAAAAGGAGATAGGACAAAGCACATTTCACCATAGTTATTTTTCACACCTAATCTTCAAAAGAATGGTGATATCAATGTTCAACAAGTTCGTTCAAATGATAATTTGGCTGATATGTTCACTAAGGCATTTCCAACCTCAACATTTGAAAAGCTGATATACAAGATTGGAATGCGTCGTCTTTGAGATATTAAGTGATGTTTTCTTCAGGGGGAGTAACTACGCGCTGCACTCTTGTTTCCTTAACCAAGGTTTTGTCCCACTGGCTTTTCTTGGTAAGGTTTTTAACGAGGCAGCAAGTAATGCGTATTACATATAACTATGTACTATTTTCAAGTAAAATCTTAGTAAAGCATATTTATTTTACATGGACATCCAAGGGGGAGTGTTGTGAATAATTTAAGATAGTGGATGCCCATGTTGCTATGGAGACTTTTTAGGCTTATAAATAGCCTTGTATTCTGATGGAATGCAAGATCACTCTTTAGGCTTATAAATAGCCTTGTATTCTGATGGAAAAATTGCACACATAAGAGAAAGAAAGAAAAAAGTTCTCTCATCCCTTATATAATTTCTATTCTTGTTACTTTATTTGATACATTGATTTTATTTTATAACATCCTTCAATTTCTTTACATTTAATAATGACAATATATTCTTGAACTGACGTAGTCACTTACAAAACTACATAATGGAATTTAAGCAGCGCAAACACAGCTTTATACGGTAAGCAAAATAGCNAGCAAAGTAGCATATTAGCCTCCTTTATTTAGAATCAATACTGTTTCTGGAACTAACGTAGTTACTTAAAAAACTACAAAATGGAATTTAAGCAGCAACACAGCTTTAAGCAGAGTGGCATACTAGCCTTCTTTATTCGCGTAATTCTTCCTTCTTAGAAAATGTACTTCACTAATCCGGGAATATGAATTTCCTTGAAGTATTGTTCCCACTGAATAGTTGTTGGATCAAAATTAAACGTATCATCTGCATTACTTTCTCTTGTTATCATTTGCAACATTTCAACATTGGAATCATTGAAACTGATAAAACAACAGCGGTAATGGTGTTAGAATATCAATTAAGCACTAAGTTTGATTATTAATAAATACTTAAAAACTGTTAACTATTTGGATGTGTTAATATAAAAAATACTCACACTCCTTTGAAGAACAGGTAGGGCTTGTAGAGTTCAGCTAGTCGAATGGCACGATTGATCTTTCTTTCTAAGTTTGAATGCAAGGTTTTAAAATATTGGCAAAGTATCAAGTTTGCCAACTTTAATATCTGAAACATGTTAAAATATAAACTTAACCAGTGGTAGACTATTAATGCTGAAGTGCATGCCAATATTCATGTATATAAACACACCTCTATATTCTTTTTTGTACGTATCTCTCTTGCCTAAGTTTCAGAGTTTTTTGTAAGAAGATATTATTATGAAAACTAACCATTAATAATGACTTGTAGTGGATTGCTATGTATTTGTGAAGGCTAGCCATGCTATCCAGTAAATGAAATTTCTTCACTTTGACCGGCTTCCCTCTTTCATCAATCCACGGATTCTTCTTGAAGTGATCAACGAAAACTTGTACAATATCACCCATATTTAGTTGATTACTCCTAGAGGAGCTAATATGGTAAACAGTTGTATGGGAAGAACGGTTTCTATGGGCTACCATAGCCGCGATGATTGAGTTCACTACCATATCAGCTGGAATCTAGGCAAGATAACATTAAGGAAGTTAAATACTTGGGAACCCCAAGTGTAGATGAGCTAATTAAGACCAGCTCAGTTGGGCATTTCAATATAACATAAGGTATACACAGTACATGTACACATACCATATCTATTATCGATTCTTTATCTCCCATCGTAATAGTCTGTTTTCCTTTACCATAGCCAACAATGAAGGTGTCCGTGGTTCTGTGGGAAGGAAGAATCAGATTCGCTTCGCTAAGACTTATTCTTCTTTGCATAAATGGGGATGTGTGTGTGCATATATGTATATATTATACCTCATTCCTTCAATCCATCCTGGGAATGGTTCCTTGTAGGTGCTTAATATAACTGTTGGCCTTAGGATTATGAGTTGGAGGTCCTCCTTTAAGTGTCCTAAAAGCATCTCTCCCATTGCTTTTGTGAAGGTGTATGGGTTTGGCCATCCATGCATCTTTGCCCTGAACAATCATAGTTCTCGTGAAAGGTGGGATAAATCGTCAAAAGAAAAGTGAGACTGATTTTATGAAACAACGTTTAATTACCTCTCAATACCTAGAACTCTCATAGCTAAAGTTACTTATTTTTCAGTGGCATTCCTAGCTTGAAGGTCCTTTAGTTTCTCCTCTACCAACTTATGCTCTGCGTCTATGTCTAAGTGAGATCCTCCATTAAGCGTCTCACCATAGTG